AATTATGTGAGTTGATTTTATGGAGCATAGTCGAGATCTTACCTTGTATTTGAGTCAAACTTTGCCAACATTACCCGGTAAAAGAAATCTCAATGTTTTAAAAATCATCACTAACTATTCAGTGTATGTGCGGCACCTCTTCCGAGGCCACCCAAATGGACGTTTACTTTCTCGCGAGTACCTCATCAATAGAAGATGGAATCTGGCCATAAACAACATTGTTTTCCTACAAATAAGTTTTATTCCATGGCATCGAAACTTAAGAAATCACCAGGATGTTGACTGGAACAGATGCGGTTTCAGGACTTTCTGCCATACGATGTGGAAATGTTCCAAAATGGAAACATCAATATTTCCGGCTTTCAAATAATCAATCGAGAAATCAAAGAGTATCTGAATTTGAAAAGGCATCTATTAAATTTAACCTCAAAAAAGAATGCGGATGATTTGGATATCGAGGTAAGCAATTTATGGTTCATTACAGCAACCGCTTGTCAAATTCCTGCAACTACTGTACAAAGTTTTCAATACTTTCAGTGCACTCACTCGCCAGGCGTCATCTTGTTAGGCGTTCCCGCTCCGATTATCTCTTCCCTGTTACTCTCTGTGTGTTTACGCTGTATGGCGAGCTGACGCGAGTTAGAAGCAATTAATTCAAAATATTTAGAAGTTCTGAACAAAATATTTTGCATTTTGCCATGAGAGCTGAAGCTGCCAAGCAGTCGATGTCGGTATCCATGTTAGTGTTGTTACTAGAATAAACTCAAACACCGAGTAAAGCTGCGCCAGGCTTTTTGGTCCCGAGCTGCCTGCCTACAGCAAGGATTCATGGGTGTTTAGTGAATGCCAACTGCTTTGATTTGCCCGCAAAAAACAGTTTAATGACAAAAATAATAGTAAGTGAAATATCGAACTGGTTACTTCCTCTGTGTTCTTTTATAATTGCACGAGTACCGCTCAACAGTCCGCTTTCTCCGTCTCGCATTTGTGCCACTCTCAAGTATAATTCCTTAAATGTATAAAATTTTTGTATGTCAACTTACGCAAAAGAGATTATTTAAAGAAATGTATAAAAAAACGTTTTTATAAGTGGATTTGTTTTGAATAAATTTTTTAGTGGCGTCCTTTTAAACAGTTACATGATATTTAGAAGGAAAACACAAAATTATGATAAACAAAAGTACTGAAATAAAGACAGTGAAAAAGCCGAGAGTCAAATAAGGGGATTTCCGTTAAAATATCTATGAATTTAGGCCAAAGCTGTTTTTGTACATGATGCGGTCGTAGTTGCAAGAGCTGTGTTTGCCACTGCACTACGACGAAACGATTCGTTATTCCGTCACAATTTTCGGCATGGCGAACTGTACAATCGCGGATTCCCTGGAATATACTGTCACCCAATCACAGATGTCAACAATCCAAATCGACCGTTTACCACTTTCGAGCACGGACAAACGCTGGCAAGAACATTGAGAGGAGTGAGAATCCACTGGCTTTTCATGGCTCCTGAATTATTTTCGAGCAAACGCATCACCGATTGCTACAATTTTACATTGTCTGCTATTCACAGTGATATTACAGCCGGGAAATTCGGTTTTTTTT